TTCAGCAATGCGTCTCAAAGTAGCTCGAGACACTGAACCACGTAAATTACTATAGAATAAACTTATGTGCGCATGCTCAACTTCATAAAAACTTTTTTGAAAAGAATCTCTAATGTTGCCCACTTGTAACTTTAATTTGTTATTCATAGCCTCCCAATATTTTACCATGTTACCTATACTATTCCCCAACATCTGCTTTAACTTCCAATGAGCAGACTCAACCCTAAAAATAATACATAATAAAAATACTTAAAAAAATACAAATTAAAAATACAAATTAAAAGTACAATTTAAAAATACTAAAAATAAATACATAGTAAAAAATATTAATAAAAATATGCATACCGATCAGTCGAGATGTTATCCAAATGTAGCACTCGATTAATCCATGCTCCAACAAATCTCTGTCTATGTGGTGTCAACCATGTGTCTTTCACATAATCAAGAAATTTATTACAATCAACACACGCCTGCTCAAGTTGTTGCAGCTGTTGATCATACTCAATCTTGTCACTAGCCCATACAACTTCCATCCATAAGTCCTCGATCGTCTTTTACATGTCACTAACCATATTTTGCACTAACATTTTTGTTAATGTGAAATCGACATAGCAAATTGATTGACCTTAAAAACACAATTTCAATTGCTTTCATCAAAGCAAGACCTCTATCTGTCACAATCACTTGTGGATACAAATCTTTATTCACAAACAATTCTTTAAGTTTATCTAACACCCAACAAAAAGTCTCAGTCTGCTCAGACTACATATACGCAAATGCGACAGCAAAAGTCAACTCGGTTGATGTCATGCGAACAATTTCAAACAGAGGTTGCCTATATTTGTTTGTCTTGTAGGTGTTGTCCATAACTAACACAATAGGAAAAATATTTAACAACTTAACTGAATCTGGATGGACGCAAAATATATCTCTAATAACTTCAGAGTCATCTCTTTTTCTACTCCAATAAACATAACATGCGTCCTCAATAAGCTTAAACAAATGTTGTATCTCACTTCTAGGACTTCTTATCTCTTTTCTATGATACTCTTACGCTTATATATTTGCGTGATCCGAGTGACATTCTCTAGATCTCGCTCTTTCAAGGAAAGTAATATATTTTTAGGTGGAGCATGTCTCTTTGTCAAATCAACAACATGTTGCTTCTGATCTGTGGTCAACCTACTAACAAAGGAATGTCATTTTAATCTATCAGGTAAACCATGGTTATGAACTCCGCATTTTACATCAACCTTTCATCCAGACCCATCTTTCACCGGAGTCGACCTGATTTTAAATGGATATTCATATTTTGTTAGTTGCACTTTGGGTACCATTATCAGTATCCTTGTGTTTCTCACTTTTATCACAACCAAATATTAATTTGTTACTTCTTCCTCTCTTGCATGTTTCAGTATCTGAACGAGTGATAATAATAGTTACTTTATTTCGGATTTCAACCTCTTTAATCCACCTTATCACTTTTTCTCGTGTACCAAATTTTTGAGTAGTTGAAAAAACATTAGAAGTATCTACGCATATTTTTGGAGGAATTTCCATACCTGCACTATAAAAAAAATTATTTTAAAAAAAACAGACCGGATGACTTTCAAAAAAAGCAAACCGGATCACTTTAGGAAATAGTCCTGATATGTAATTTTAATTAACCGGATATCTTCAAAAATGTCTTCCGAAAAAGGAAAGTAACATACCGGATGACTTTCAAAAAGTATTCTGGTATAGGTTTGTAACAAACCGAAACTCTTTTGGTTAGTCTTCCGGTATATGTTTTGTTATAAATCGGAACTCTTTGTTCATGTCTTTCAGAAGCGATTGTTAACATACCGGAAGTCTTGATTGAAGTCTTATGAAAATCTTGATTTCGTTTACTGTCCTTACCGAATGTCTGACATAAATAGTAAAAAGCAAAAAATAAAATAATAAAAATTAAACAAGGGCAAAATTGTTATTTTTAAAAAATATATAGAGGTATTAGTATAACTATAAGGGTATGAAGTAAATTTTTCATAAATTTAAACTGTAGGCAGTCCAAGATCCGTTCAATAGACTCTAATATCATGATAGAGTTTATCTTAACTTAAACTTATAAAACCGACTTTTATGTGAGAAATACCACTTTATACAAGTTTTATGTTTAATTAATATGAAACTTGAAATCTTTTCGATGAAAAAAAAGTGAAAAGATTACAACGAGAAATTTCCTTCTTCGCCATGTCAAGAATTTCTTCTTAAATTAGAGGCTTAGTCTATTACAACTTATATTAGGACTTATTTCCTCCCCCTCATCAAGTTATAAGACCGCTTGATCTTACGAGTTGTTTACGCCATTTCTCTCCACCAACATCCACACATATGATATGGATTCATAATCTTAGGGGCCTCAAAAATTGTACATTTTATTGGTTAATATTTGGAACATTCGCATCATTCCAAAACATATTCATCTTGTTTGGAGAATTTTTCATGATAGTAACCCCGGCAAAAAGAATTTGATCCATAATGCAATTATGATTGATTCTTTTTGGTCCCATTATTGGAATGTTGATGAAGATTTGGATCATGTTGTGTTAGGGAGAGTTAGAAACTAAATCAAATGTCTTTTAAAATGGGTAAGAAGATAACCAAGATAAATGAATCATCACCATATCCTTTCTCATTTGTATTAAGTAACTTAGGTTTTTATCCATTAAATAACCTAACATTCATATCCATTAAGTAATTTTTGTTTTCTTATGCATTAAGAAATAGATAACTTAGTTTGCAAGAAATTTACTTATGTATATACTATGTTCCAAATCAATTCAAGTGAATGAAATAAAGTATTAAAGAAACTAGATTAAGAACTTCCCTCTTGTGAATTCTATTTAAGTTATATATCCATTTCAAATCAAATTGATCTTACCATTTGTTACTACTCATTAATTCAAATTTTCTAACCTAACTTGATATGAAATGAAAGTAATTGAAATTAGAACAAAACTAAAGAAACAAAAAAAAATCTCACTTAGAATGGTTCATTACATCTTCAGGAGTAAGAAGATTTATAGTTGTAAGATTCTTTGGTGTCAAGTTGTTTTCCATGGTTGGAAACAAATTCATGGTTGTTTCTAATTGAGATGAAGTATAAATAGATTTAGCAAAAATATTAAATTTAAAAAAAAACACTTGAATAGAGAAAATATCTAACAAATTAAAAAGAAAAAACATTAATATCAACGATAATATTTCCAAAAAATAAGTCTAAACACTAGGAAAGGATCAGTCGTAGTTAGTGACCATATTACAATTTAATAACCTATGAAAAATAACAATTTAAATCATGAATCGTCTATTAATTAGAGCTGTGAATTAGATCTAAGAATTTAGAAGTCTCAACAAACAATCAAAATGCTATTGAAAAAATTATATGTTTTTCTTCTGGAAGTAAGTATCAATTTTCAAATTTTGTTTATTCGGAATGGATTGAGTTTCTCACATGATAACTATCCATCCATCACCTTCTACGGTTTCACCCATATATAAGTTCAATCATTAAAATGAATTTTATTAGTGAAGTTTCATTTTTGAAGGGTATTGATGTTTTTGTTCTTCAGGACTTTTCATGTATATCTCTCATCGGTCATATGTTGATATCTGCACTGAGAATATGCACATGTGCATTCATCCCGTTCAAAGAGAATCAGACGAGAGTGTATTTTAACTGCATGATAGTAAATGATATACACTTCCAATCATACCTAGATTACTGCACGCGTCCCTTGGACGTTATAGCCTTCTACTTTAGATTGTTGGTTTGTGAGTCACGTCTGATGTATCCATATCTGCCTAAGCGCGTCATGCGTCAGTTCGAATATATGTAGTTTGTTTCTAGAGACTTCTGCAATTCAGCTCCCCCTAATATGGTATGCAAAGATATAGATGACATGTATAATGATTACTTTAATCATATGATATCGAATGACGCACGAAATACTCTAGCTCTTAACGACTAGAGTTGTGCATACGGCTACGTCTAGTGGTATCTTAGAATGTAACATCCTTTTATGACACTAGATATTTTGAAAGATCTATATAGGACGACTCATCAGGAGATGCTAGAGGAAGAGCATGTAATGACAGATCATGTTGTTGATGTGTTGCCTAGATAACGTATCATGGATCTTGCACAAACGGATATAGACATAAAAGTCTTTTCGAATGGCTCTCGCTCTTTTGAGAGAAATATTGTATGGCTCTCGCTCTTTTGAGAGAAATATTGTAGATGACATTCTTACCAAAACACAAACGACATTGCGACAGAGGAGGCAGCAAAGAAATAGTGATGTCTGACCTATGTTATAGTGTAGTATTTGTATTAGCCACTATAAATATTATTTTCATTTTTTACTTTGTTAGTATGTTAATACATTTATTTGTTCATATATAACATTTTCATCTTTTTTATTAGGTGTATGATTTAATTTATAAAAAAAACTATTTCGAACAACTAAATGATTTTATAAAAAAATTTCATTTATAACATTTTCATCTTTTGTTAATACATTTACCAAATGATTTTATAAAAAAATAAAAAACACAACTAAATCAATAATATCTTAATGAACAATTTACAAATACAAAGAGAGATCCAACAAATCAATACTTTTGAACAAATTACTATCAATCTGAGTATACAACATTGCTTCATATAAAAGATGAAGAAACATCAATGGTATGTTACCAATGAATAACATAGAATCATATAACTAAACAAACAGCTACTAACAAATAGTTAGAGAATTCCAAAACATTTATATCTTAACCATAAGTATCAAACAAGAATAATAATAAAAATAATATAAGTAATGCTATCTAGTCAAGGAAAAAATAACCACAAACTTTGTCAAAAAAAGTTTTGGCAAAAATAGATCTGACTAAATACCACTTTTTTTAAAAGCAAAAATGCTCAAAATTACATTAAAAGTATAAGCTTCAATCAATCAGATTTGAGTTGATTTTGCACCCACAAGCCATGACATGTTTTCTCCTGCCTTGTTAATACTCTCCATTGGATTTGTTCTCTGATATGGTGATTTGGATGCAACTCTGTAAATACATAACAAGGAAACAAATTATTAGTATCTCACATAAACACCAAGTGTGTTTGGTTCTACGATGCCAAGAATTGATTCTGGTTTAAAGTGATTTGAAGGACAAATTTCAATGTAAAAAGTTTTTAAACTCAAAATCTAACAAATCCTAGCTTTAGGTAGAATCAATTCTGAAAGCAAAAGATACAATAAGAAATGTTTTATTTTCAAATTTTTATTGAATTAAGAGTGTTTACCTATCCTTTCTTTTCTCGAGGAACCGATGAAGAGAAGCTTTCCTCATAATTGGAAGATCTGCACATAAAGGAAAATCTTGATCAGAAAAACAAGTTCCAATTTTTGTGTCGTCCCAAGTTTAAGTGTTTAAGGTTTGAAGAAATTACCGCAAACATTAGGTCTGGAAAGCACTTGAGGGTGTTCATGAATCGAGCCATTGCAGGTGCTAGGGACGATGTTGTTCACAGTTGGAGCAGTTGGAGCGATTGGATCAACAGAAGTTCTGACCGAATTTGGAGGAAATGAAGGCTGGCTTTGTGAGTAAGTGTATAAAGAATTGTTGTTCTGAGTTTGAGAGACTCCTTTGTTAGCAAAAGCCATGAGCTCTTGTGCTTTATCAGCCGGGAAATCGTCGAATACAACAACTTGACCATTGTAAAACATTGTCAATTGTGCAGCTTTAGGTCCCTTATTAGCACTGCAAATCAATATTTCAATATCACACATTAGAAGACTAGATGCAAAAAATTGTATATAATCAATTAATCATTCAAATACAATATCATATAATAAGTCATCAGGGCCGTCATTCTCAAGAAAGTACAGGGAAGGGCAGGCTACCGCACAGACCCAAAATCAAATTTGTCTCGGGTAAACCGAAACTAAATAGGACCTCATAAAATATCTGTCATTGTCAACTCTGGTTAAATAGGACCTTTGATTATTTTATCATGATAAACCTACACAATGCCTCCAAAAACTTAAGACGCCTACTACATAGACGTCTCTGTAAGTCATTACTAGGCGGTTCAATTCACAAGATTTCTGCTAAGTAGGGTACAGAGAGGGTAGTTATATGCACCCTCACCCGCACACGCGGAGGAAATCGATCCTCTACATCTATAGTAGTATGGTGTATGGTGACGCATCAATAAGGACACTCAAATCGAGAGAGAAAAATTCTCTCTCCAAACCTAATTGTCCTTATAGATGTATCACCATATCACATCTCTATATCACATCTTAGAGGATCTAGGTCTAGGATTCTCCATTACAACCTTCCTCCATCTCTCCCTTAATCTTACCCTAGAATTGAACCTATGACCGGCAACAACCATACTAAAAAAAATTCAAACCTAATTTGGTAACAAATGAAATGAACTAAAATTAAAATCACAACAAAAATAAAACTCACTTTGAGTTGTTCATAGCAGCTTGTGGAGAGAGCAAATCCATAGTTGTAAGATTCTTTGGTCCCACGTTGTTTTCCATGGTTGGAAACAAGTTCATGGTTGTTCCTAATTGAGAAGAAGTCTCAATAGACCCTGCAAATTCATTCATATTTAGAAAAAAAAAATATTTAAAAGAACCCTAAACAACTCTTCATGAATGAATAATCAATTAATTGGAACCATGAATTAGATCTATGAATTCATAAAACTCACAACAAACAAACATCTTGCAATTGAAGAAATTCAAAGAGAAATATTTGAAAAAATTTATATATAGTTATTAGTTCAACCCTAAAAAAAAAAGGGGGAAAATCAAATTAATATACCAATATTTCATTTTCTTACATCATATCTCAATACACATATATAATTCAAAAAACTTATCACCCTTCCTAAAATTAAGTAAAAAAAATTATAAAAAAAAAAAAAAAAACAGAAAAATTCGGAGAGGTTAAGGTTCCATACCAGTTGGTTCGGTGTTGTTGCATGTCATACCGAGAGAAAGATCCTTGAAGCTACCCTTTTCCTTGATGTATTGACTCAGTAAACTGCAAGTCTGAGAGAAAGTTGTCTTCTCCGGCGACCTCGCCGGTTTCTGGCCGGAAACCTCTGAGAGTTCCGATGAGCTAGACATAGTGAAAAAAACAAGAGATTGAGAGAGAAAACGCGTTGCTGAAACTTGAAATGATGATAGTTTGTAAAAATTAATGTTGTGATGATGTTCTTTGTCTTGGTGATTTATCGTATGTTAATGTTATATATAGAAAGAAATAAATGTGTTAATTTTCGTGAGGGGTATTTTGGGGATTTAGTATTTTGGAGGTGGGAAATTGAAGCACGAGGAATATGTGTGTTTTTTAAAGTTGTCTATAGGGGATGCTTCTTTTTTTTATGTTTTTTATTTTTTGATGCTTTTCTTGCTGCTGTCTCTTCTGTTTCTTGTGTTTTGTCTAAACTTTACTTTATTGTTTTTTATTTGTTTATTTATTTGTTGAGGATTGTTATTTTATTGTTGGTATATTTAAATTGAGAAAACATTAGTTTAGACCACGTGTTGTGTTATGTTGTTTACGTCGACGAAACGGACACGGCAAAGGTTATGCTGTAGGAGTTTCCTTTTGCTTTTTTTATAATAAAATTGAAAAGAGGATAATGGAGTGTTATTTATTCAATTGAGTCATGTTTTTGAGTGGATTTGTTTTAACAAGATTGTAGGGCTTTTTCTTTAGAAATTCTCTTTTCATATTTATATGGATTATTTTAACGGATTATTTTAACTAGTTGGAAACATCGTTTTAAGTGTTTTTCTTTGAAAGTATTATTCTGAAGGGAGAATGGATTTGAATTATACGTATTTTTTTTATTTGAAATTTTTATGTATTAGAGTTGGTTCGAGTGTTTCAGATATAAATTAGATGTCGGTTTTTTTTTATTGAGTCTTTGGTATGTCTAAAACAATTGTCTTCAATGTCTTTTTTTTTTGGAAGAAGTTTGGCAATCGACGTGAATAACTTAGAAAACAAGTACATTAAATGTGAGTCTCATCATTGAGATATTTTGTAGGATTTGTTTAACATGTGGCCTTAAGTTTCTATACCAGAGAATGACGCTTCCTCCTAGAATACTCAAGTGTCGTTGTATTCCCGTGGCGAAATTTAACTTTTGATTTCTCGCCTTTCTAGTTCCTTTTATTATGAGCCCTTGATTGATTTGCCTCGCTTCTTTATATATGGGTCACTTGGGATTTCAAAACTATTTTCGCCCTTTACACATACTCCAAGTTCTCTTCCTTCTACGCACTTCGATTTTCTTCTTTGAACTTCGACAACACCCATTTCATCAATCTTTTTCCTTCTTTGGGTTATAAATTTTACGGTCCAACGCAAATTCTAGGTCATCTTCTTTAAATTTTATGTTGGTTTTTATTCTCTCAGGTACCACTTTCTCTTTTATGTTCACAATTCATTATTTTCCTTTATTGCTCTAGATATGACCCACATAGGAAATCCACCTTCAAATGTAATAAGTATACTCAATAGCAATGATTCTTCTTCCTCTACTAGGATATTGAACCCAAGTCAGTTGAATATTGATCCTTTATAAGCTAACCAACCTATTACAAATCTTATTGTGCTTAGCAATAGCTCTGGGTCTATAAGGGGTTTCGTTGAAGAAGGAACGAACCATCTAGCTTTCATTTTGTTAGAGACACATATGATTTCCAAAGGAGATAAAAAGAGGGATCATGATATTCTCGTTGTCAGGGTGTAGATGTTGATTCCCTTCTCCCCCTACTGTCTCTTGTAGATCTAGTGTTGGGTGTGAATATGGAAGTAGAAAAGCGGTCTAGAGGAGGTGGAAAAACTCAAACTAAAAAATGCAACTGTCATTTTCCAAAATCAAAGTGTTTTCAAAAATGAGTTGTGAGTCGGAGGTTTGAAGCGAAAATGAAAATTATACAGTTGAATATGATCAATTTAACACAACTCGTTTCACAAATATCCAAGATTATAACAATGAAACGCTTGGTATGAATTGATTCAAGTTGTGTAGTCACAAGAAGTGTACATAATTGATTCAATGTATGGAATCCTAAATTCGAGTTGTTTTCAGATTTATCAATCACATACTAGCTTGACTAGTTGCCCAATTCCAACAAAACCTAAAGCTTTACGTAATTAATCGTTATCAAGAACAAAACGATATAGTAAGAAGGAGTCAAAAAACCTAGCATACAATCGCTTCAAATTTAAATGCAAGAGTAAGAGTTAGAGAGATGACACTAAGATTTATAGTGCTAAGGCATTCGTCTTCGCTTAGCCTCCATGCACTCTTCAATGGTTTCCCGTTGGAACCTGCATAGTTTCTTATTAATTGACAAATATTTTCAAGAGTTCATAAAATCACCAATCCATAATACAGCTGAGAAAATAAATCTTTTAATTTGGATCTTGACTTATATACAACAAACTTACCAAACTCTTCTACGTAGTCTTTACTCGAATACGTTTCTTGAATATTCCAATAACACCCATTATGCTTCAAGCATTCTTGTGTAGCTATCAAGCAATGTTGGAGAAAGGAACCTACTTCTTTTCAAGATTCGAGAAGAACTCCTCCTTATCTATAGTCTTCCAGATAGTTACTACTAAGCAATGTTGGAGAAAGGAACCTACTTCTTTTCAATGGAATTTGTCACCACCATTGAGAAATCCCTCAATCTTGCTAACAACTTAAAAAAAACTCAACAATATCTCCAAGAACGGCCAGTTTCAAGTGCGTGGCTCCTTCAATCAATCTCAGAATTCTCGTTATCAAGATTTGAACTCAATTGAAGTTGAAGGTGTGATAAATTCGTAGCAAGACTTTCAACACTCAAAATAGAGGAAATTGATTTTCACACGAAATCACACTGAAAAATCTTAACAGAATGATAGATGTTATGTGAGAGATGATAACAAAAATGATTTATATGTGCTTGAGATAAAGCACACAAAAATGGTTGAAAAAAGTGGTTAGATTCGAATCAAGAAAAATATGATTTGGATCAAATGGGCAAAATGAGGTGGAATGAAAGAAATAAGCAATTTTTGAAAAATATGCCATTTAATTTGGATCATGCAAAATGTGATTTAAATCAAATTCCTTGTGATTTGAATCAAGTACATAATTTGATTCTAATCAAATGACATAGAACTGACAAGGATTTTTGGAAAAAGGATTTGATTTGAATCATGTTCAAAATTTGATTCGCATCAAATTAAACAAAATCAAACATGAATTTTGAAAACTAAAATTGAATCAAATCATGTACAAATTTTGATTCGAATCAAACTAGCCAAATTTTATTCCCAAGAAAATGATCAGGATCAAGTGTAAAATTTGATCAGGATCAAATTACCAAGTTTAGCTATTGTCCAATTTGATCAGGATAAAAAATTCAATGTAAAGTTGAATGATTCAAATCAATCTTGTAAAATCTCAAATTTTCATGTTTTCAAAATCATTTTGAGATTTTACCTTTAAATCAACTTTGACAAAAAACACAAAATGATTTTATTCCACTAACTTATGATATTGATCAAAGAACATTTAGATCAAGATCAAATCTAACCTAAGTTTTATGCATGCTAAAAATAAATCAAATCAAACTTGATTCCAATAAATTCAATCATGAAGGAGACTTAATGAATAAAAATGAAACAAAGATGAAAGCGATAAGACAGTCAACAAAATAACCAGATAGCAGGGACATGCAACTACATTTGGAACTTGCTAAGGTTTCCCGAAACAAATGGGTGAGTGGTTACTTCATTAAATCTTTTAGGGCGACAAATGGTCGAAATCTTAGTGACAGGGAGGTTATAAATCATATTATCTTTTGAAGTCACTCCCAAGTGTATGATCGACATTATCTTTTTCATGACAATTGGAAAGATATGGTCAAAAAGGAATGTCAAGATTTGGTGCCACATAAGGATGTAATTCAGTGCCATTGGTTGGATGAGAAATTATTTGGGATGTAATTTGACAATTCAAAGAGAATTTGTAACTCATGGGAAAAGTGCTCGATTCCATTCTATGAATACTTGTTTTTAAGATTGGAATTTAAGCTACCTTTCAGTGACTTCGGGGAAGGGGTGTTGAAGCATATCAGAATAACTTTGTCCCAAGTACACGAGGTAGCCTGGGAATTTGTCAAAGTATTCCAATACTCGTTCGTGTACTAGTAAAAAGAACCATGTATGAATTTGTTCTCCAATCTCTTTATTGTAAATCAAACATATGTTTAGGGGAATTGGGGACGGGGGGCGAATCTCGTTATAATATCCAGTCAAAGTATTTGTTTGACAAATACCTTAAAATTTGGAAGAATTTCAAGGATTGTTATATTTTAGTGACTCTTCTGTCCCCAAATGCTCATTTTGTCTTTTGTAAGGTCCTAGAAGGTGAGGCTTCCTTGTCCAACCCCTCAAGCTCAGAATCGATGAAGTGCAAGAAGAGAATTTTCAAATATTGGTTCTGGAACCATTTTAACCAGGGATCAATGACCTATAGTCTTTTGGGAGCACTTGGCCTTTAAAGAAGGGGTTGGTTCTCCGGGAGAATCGTATATCCAGTAGAAAAGGGTTTTTTCAACTCGTGGGCAGTTGTGGATGCAACCACCTCTCTATAATGGAAAGAAAAAAAAACTATTTAGTGAGGATGTGATTTATTGTATGATTTCCTTTGTCATTCTTATAGTATTATACTGACTATCCTTTATCTTTTTTTTGCAGATAACATGGCATCTCTTAAAAATCTTTTCAAGAGAAGGAATGATTTCGTTGTGGATGATTTTATCACCTTTCCTTCCCCAATTTCAACTCCGGTCCAGATGGGTAAAGCTAATGATACGATCCTAGTAGATGATAAAACTTCTTCCAGGAGCATGACAAGGTGAATTAACAAGGTTGTTCCTCTTTTGAGAGGCAGAGCAAGAACCTGAATGATCGACCTCCCTCTTTTGTGAGGTAGAAGTAAAAAAGGGATATGGGTAAGGATAAATTCTAAGGAAAAGCCAAAAAAAATCTAAACCGACAAGACCAAAAATTGGAGGAAGTGTCGGATATCTTCTTCCCCTTTCAAATTCCA